CCCCCCCCCCCCCTCCCACCAAAAAAAAAAGAAATTGGTTTGGCAATTATTTAGGCCCATACATTACACCTTTCCGAGCCTGTCGGCAAGGAGATCATCCGAGCCTATCGGCAGCGAGCTTTAGAGCAGCATCCCGACAAAGGTGGGGACAAAGATGACTTCGATGCGCTGAACAAGGCAGCAGCTTGGGGCAACAGGGTTTAGGGCTCTTAGGGACTTAGGGATCTTTCAGGGTTAAGGTTTCAGGGAAAAGTAAGCTCCAAGCGATCTTCAACATTAACTGTTACTGTCATGACTCATTACTGTCTAGCATGAGAATGTTCACAGTTATTAGGATGATGACGAAGATGCGATTATGTTGATGATAGAGACGATGAGAATCAAGACAATGATGAAACTGATGATGTCTCCTCAAGGTCCCAGTGATTTCGTTGTTGGTCTGAATCTTCTGTCTTTGGGTGCGAAGGTTACAGCAGGGCTTCTTCTTGAGCTCAGGAACCCTAAACCGATGAACATGCGAGAGCCCCCTTCAGCGATTGCAGTGTGGTGTTGGATGTCGGGTTCCAACTGCAAGATGCCGGTGTTGCGGCGTCTTCAGGTTTTGCCTGTGAGAGCACACCCGGCCCTTCAGTTTTGTTCACCTGAATATGTTGAATGAGTTTGGCCGTGCTCCCCTAAATCCTGAACTTCAAAGCCTGAGCCTAAAGCCCTAAATCCTAAGCCCCAGCCTGAGCCCTCAAGGCCTAATCCGTTTTATGTGAACTGCTTGGGCTCGGGTGGGCTCGTGGGAGCCCACAGCTTCGCGCTAGAATTCGATGATCGAGGGTGTGATGTCGGTGGGTTTTGGATTCAGATTTGCCTGGTTTGGTGATGGGTGGCGAGGGGAGGCTCCATCTGGCCATGGCCCTTTTTGCTTGGTATCGTCTTTAGTTTTGAAAAGTCCGGACTACGTCATGCGGCAGGCGTATGCCACCCTCAATGATGACGCGCGCAGGCACGGAATGCAACCAGGGCTTCAGCGTCTGAGTTCAATGCCGCAGAGGTTTGCGGTTTGGGGTGACGCAGCACAAATTTTCAAAGCCGCCGAACCGGCAAACAAGGGGTGGGGCTTGGGGCCGGGGCGACCCAGCATCAGCGGCATCATCGCTCCTTTGGCTCTCGTTGGGTCGGTGCAGCACATACTGTCTACATATAACACATGTGCTACTGTACACACATGCACTGATCGCTTGTCATCCCGAGCAGCGTCTGGATGGTCAGCTTGGGTTGCTGCCAAGAGGAGCAACAGTGATAAGGAGAGCCAAGGAGTGCAAACTTCGTTCATTTTGTGTACGGCCCAGCTCGATTTTGCATTTGGCAAGCTCTGGTTTTGGTGCTGCATGTCATGTAACTTCCCACCCTCTTCCCTGACCCTTAACACCAATAATGCACCGAAAAAAACCCTCAAAACTAAACTCCAGAAGCTCGGCGCCCCTAAAACTTTACAGTTCCATACTTAAGTTCTTGAATCCCCAATGACTAACCATATCCTGACCCGACAACACAGACAAATCTGAAGCTTAATATTTGATCGGGTTTCATGGTCTTTCAAGGTTTCTTTGTGAACGGTTTTATAGGGTGCTCCATGGTTTTACTTCTGAGAGTTTTATGTCGCAATATAGGGTTCCGTTTGTATAAGAGCCGCAGTACTTGGAACAGTGCTTTGGATTTATTTTCAGATATTGAGATGGGTACTGCAATGGACGAGCATGCTCCAATCTCAACCCAAGAGCCACCTAAAATCCGAAAGCCCCTCAGCCCTCAGCCCGCGGCAGAAGCCCCATAAGACCCTCTAGAACCCTGTTAAGGGTTTAGGGTTTAGGCTTTAAACGCATCAGAGACAACGGCTTAAGTTGACATAGGGCTTGGAGAAAGAGTGATTAGGAGTCCCAGGCTATAGCGGATAAACAGGTCCTAAACAGAGGATCCTGATTGCAGGAACCCGCTGCTACCCCCCGACTGCGGAATTTGCCTTCGAGCTTATCGCAGGTAACCGTAGTTTCCTCCATATTCGTAAGCTGAGAAACTACCCCAAACCCATCGTCTTGCTAATCGCTTGCCAGTTATCAATCCTTTCTCATATTTCGATCTGCTTAGGATCCAGGACATCCTTCTCCCTATCTTGCTATGCCTCGCCGTCCCGAACTTCATAAACAAAAAGCATGGGAGCCGTTCCCAGCACTTAGGCTGGATCCCTGAACCTAGTAGTAGAGTAGGTAGCCTTTAGCTCTTTTGGGGTACAAAAGTCCCTGCATGTACCAACATACTCCCAAGGGCTAACCTTTAGTTTGCCAGGATACTGGACAAGCAGGAGCTACCCTAAACTCTCAACCCTAAACCCCAAACGCCTAAACCCCTAAACCCTAACCCTAAACAGCCCTTAAACCCTCAACTTGAGAAGATCTAGACTGAAAATCTCCTACCCGAGGTTCGCCATTGAACTAAGAACCCTAAAACCTAAGCCCTAACTTAGTTTATCTTATAGTATGTTTTAGTACATTACCGTATAGTATATTTCAGTATATCATAGTCTACGACAAGATCTAGCCGTTTATAGGCTCAATTCCAACTTGATCCCGTTTCAGGCGAGCCTACGATCTTCAGCTTGCCAAGGAGAGGGAGCGCGAGCTGTTGGTCGAGGTGGCGATAGGGAGATTAGGCATGTGCGACTTGCATGGGACATCAAGGGTCATATCATTTCACGGAGACAAGAACTTCTTCAACTTGTGTGTTACTGTGAGCCACCCTGCTGTTTGCATGAGTAGTCCTTCTGCTGCTGTTGCTACCACCATTGGTATGATTTCTGTTGCTGCTGCTGCTGGTTCGACGGCGACTTTTGATGGTTCTGTGCTGGTGGTTCTGTGCTGGAGCTGGTGGTGCTGCTACTGCTAGTGGTGTTGGTGTTGGTGGTGTTGGTGTTGGTGGTGTTGGTGTTGGTGTTGTTGGTGTTGCTGCTGTTACTGCTGTTGGCTATTGAAAGCATTTTGGCGGTGGTTGGGGTCTCTGACATCTGAAGCCCCTCGGTTATGCTGGTACCTTGGGAGTTTGGCTTGCTTTCGGGGTGTTTAGATGCAGGCTGCTCCTCGCTCCAGGGAGTCTGGCTGCGGTTCAACAGAGTCCGTGCTCGGCACGAAATGCCAAGTCTCAACACCTCAAAGCAACAGGTCCGGGAACCCAGCTGCCAAAGAGAACTAAACCTCAATCTTCAATCCTAAACCCTAATCTTCTGAAACACGGAACCTCAACCGACCGCGCAGGGCGGCCGAAGCACTTTCTCCAAGCAGCAGTTGCAGGCGCCCATGCCTCGACTCCCGTCACATCTTAGTATAGGGGCCTTCATAGAATAAGGTTGTTGGGTGTGTTCTGCTCGAAGCATGGAAGGGAATCTTTAAGAATATTATCCGCATCCCAGTAATGTTGCGTCAAGGGGAGAGTCGTGAAGCTTACGTAGGATGTCTTGTTCAGCAACGGTCATCAGGTTCAGGACAGCGAGCAGATTCCCACTCCTACGATGACGATTTACCACTACGACGACGACTGTGCTTAATACTCCTACAACTCTTCAGCAACTTTGCTTCATAACCGTGCTCTACAGTCTTACTCGACCTCTGGAGCCGAGTTTGATACTGAAGACATGGCAGTGCCGTACATCGCATCAACGCCTGAAGCCTGTGCAGCCCCAAAAAGACTCATCCATCTCTCTCTCTCTCTATATATATATATATATGGTAACCCCCCCTGGACGAACCGATTTATATATATATATACACATATATCTGTAGCCGAGGAATCAAGACAGCTCCAACACCCGGCTCCAAGAGGCAGGCCCAGCTCCTTCGCCAAATTTCTGGTGTAGGGTCCTAGGGTTGGATACTGCCCCGACGAATGGACTCAGTGACGGCAGAATGAAGACTGTAGAGAATGTGGATGTAGAGGGTACTTAGTAGTAGCCTTGTTATAGACTGTTACTGTAAGGGGGCAGTACGAAAGTCTTAGGGTTCAGGGATAAGGGTCTGTTCGGACACTGGGGGTTGGGGGATCAGGATTTGGGAGTTTATACGGGATACTCAGGGTTTAGGTTTTAGGGGTGTAGGGGTTTAGGGGTTTAGGGTTTAGGGTTTAGGGGTTTAGGGTTTAGGGTACCAAAAAGGAGCTGGGGCTACGAACGACGCTGAGCACGTAGCCGCTCTTGGCTCCACCAATCTTCAACATGTCACGACTGAATTTCCTCTCACAACATTGGTCTCAGGCCCTCAAATTGGCAGTAGTAGAATTAAAATCTTCATGTTTTCGGGATTCATGTGCTTTAATTGAATGCTTATACGGTGTACACCAGAAGCATTCTCATATGCTTTTGAATCCCAAAGCCCTAGCCTCTGAGCCCTCGAACAATTTGAATCCTGTTTGATCCACGCTTACAGCGCCCTTGTGGCAACTCTACAGAACTCAGGATGCGGACGTCACAGCCCGGGAAGCCACAGTGTTGCGCCCACGAGTGGAAGGGCATGGGCTCTGGTCTCTCGGACAAAGAGCCATTATACCGTAATCCTAACTCTTCAGCTTGTACTGGCAATTATGGTTAGCGATATACTCATACTTTTTTGTTTGCGTGTACCTATACTTGTGCTAATACTGATACTACTTATACTCATACGTGTGGATTCTAGTGCTAGCACTTGGTGTGGTTTCTGCGAGTCTGATTGATACGCTTATCATGGTGATTGCCATTGTTCTATTTTACCTTATACCCTAAACCCTAACCCTAAGCCCCAAACCCCCTGAACCCTAAACCCTAAATGCTTAGTGGATCCGCTGGGGCTGATGATGGGCTTCACGGCTGCAGGGCTTCAGGGGTTTAAGGTTGCGGATGTACATACACCCAAGGGGGACTGGATTTAAGATGTCCCAGGCCTACTGAAAGGACCAGGTTAGTTCTAGAATAGGGCAGGGCTTTGAGTTTAGGGTTTAGGTTTTATGTATCAATCGTATAAAGAGTCTCGCTAGCCGGGGATTGGGGTGGGGTTTCGGGGGGGCGGATTTGGGGCTTGGAGAAGTGAGGTTCCGATGAGGGAAAGCCCAAAAACCATAAACCCTGGATCTCCCGAACTCCTTTTGCCTGTAGAGTTTAGGGTTTAGGGTTTAGGGTTTAGGCTTTAGTGGTTTAGGGTTTTGGGTTTTGGGTTTTGACTTAGGGTTTAGATTCTGAGGCCTTGACTCTTACATGCCCCGAGTTTGCCAGCCTTTAACTCTTACACCCTCGACCCCTGATGAATAGACTCCCTTGCCGCAAGGCCCCTCAAGACGGGTGGTTTGGTCAATCCGCAACTCCTACGGTAGGAACCTGATCAAGAAAGCCTGGTCCTATAACCCCCCAATATTTAAGGATCCCTGTCACCAACCTCAATAGAGACCCTAAGGTTCTCTTGAATCAGTTCCTATACCACACTCAAAGCTCCGGGGGGCATGAGTGTCATAGACCCATAGACTCCCTAAACCCATACACCCCTAACCCTAAACCCTGCAACCCCAGAACCTAAACAGTAAATTCCACTGACACTGTTCCGAGCCAAGCTTCAGATGGGGCCTGATGTGCTTCTTTCCTTTTGAGTCTTAAACAGTACCCTAAACCCTGAACCCTGAATCCTAAACCCTAAACCCTAAACCCCCAACCCTAAACACTGAACCCTTAACCCCGAAACCTAAAGACATCAGGAAAAAGCCTACTCAAAATGCTGACGGACGATGTCACCGCGGAGGAACCTTGGATCCGGGGTTCGAGCTTTGGAAGTTTGAGGATGCAATGTGGGTTTAGGGTTTAGGGATTCAGGTTTAAGGTTTAGGGTTTCAGGTTTAGGGTTAAGGGATTCAGGTTTAGGGTTTGGGGATTTAGGTTTAGGGTTTAGGGATTTTGTTCAGGGTTTAGGATTTAGGGTTAGGGTTTAGGGATTTAGGTTTTAGGGTTTCGGATTTAGGAATTAATTAGGGATTTAGGGTTAGGGTTCAGGGCTTTGGATTTGCGGTTTGGTGGGGCCTTGATAGTTAGGCTTCCTTGGAGGGTTCTGGAAGGGATATTCTAAGGGTTTAGTGTACGGGGCCTTTAGACAAGACTAGGATTTTCGAAAACGCCAAACTATGACTATGTATAGGGACTGTACGAGGAGACTAGTACTTCTTGTTTTGACCCAAACATAAGGAGATTGTTCGGATAGATGTTACTTTTGGGAAAATGGCTTGATCCCTGCACCCAGATGCCAGGCTCTGAGGCCACGAACCCTGAACCCAGGCTGCGGAGGGAGTGTCTCAGCCATATAACTATACTCCTAAAGCTTGGGTACTGCCCCCACTCAGTAACAGTTGGATAATATTTATATTATGGATATATTCGTCCCTTAATAGTAGCCCTATTAAAGACTGTTACTGTATGGGGGCAGTACCCAACCTAAAGCCCTTTAGAACCTTCATTTAGTACGCTTAAACAGAGCATTGTCCTCCAAACACAAACAGTATCGGACTGCAATGCCAGGTTTCGGAGGTTCAGAGCCGGGACAGACGGGGAGCCAACCGTCCAAAATCGAAAAAGCACCGTGAAACCCGAGTTGCAAAAGCGCGTATAAACTTCGATGCCCCATCCCTGGGCCCGAAACCCCGAAAATCGAAGGTGTAAACCTGAAGCGACAGCTGAAGCAGCGCAGACCTGACTGCAAGCAAGAAGCGACGAGCTTCAAGCCCCAAGCAACATCTCCCTTTTAGGTTCACCCTCTGGCCAACTGAACCCCAAGGGGGACCTTATCATCAGGATCCTGCCATCCAGGGCTTTAAGATCTACATTGGGATCCCTTAGTGTCGGAAATATTAGGATTCCTTGGTTTCGAAATGATTCTAGGAAATTTTTAGGATCCCTTGGTTTCAGAATGATTCGGATCCCTTGGTTTCGAAATAGTATCGGATCCCTCCAAAGCTCCGTTTCCGGAAGTGAAGGAAAGGACGCAGAAGCTTCTTGACCAGTACACCTCCTTGCCGCGGAACAAGGCCGGGCAACCCTACCCCGAAAAGAGGCGCCTTGAGGCTCAAAGCACTATAAATCCCTAAACCCTAAACCCCTAAACCCTAGACCCTAAACCCTAGAACCCTCAACGCTCGGGGAAGCCCTGCATCCCTAAAGCCAAAATCCTAAAGCCCGATTCACATGAACGCAGGGCGCTCCCATTGGGGCTTCAGGACCCAAATCCAGGAATTTTCCTGATTTTTCGATGGCCCTGGACTCCAAACCCCAAACACCAAGCCCGTCGTTGAACCCCCAATCCCGTGAGCCCTCAAGGCACACCGAGAGAGCCTGAAACATTCCCCACGCCCTAAACCTTACCAAAATCTTTTTGGTGTCAGCGTGTATAGGACGTAGAGTATGAGCTAGTATGAGTTTTTGAGACATAGGATCTCCATATCCCAGTAAGCGAAAAGGAATACATTAGTTGCTACAGATCCCGCAAGTATGTCCTGATTCCCAACATCTCCCAAGCTTATACTCTAAGACTGCGATTCTGTTTCCTGGCGTAGTCGCCCGGGCACAACCTGAGATGCTGAAGCCCGAAGATAACATTGACGAAGAAGCCCAAAACCGTTCCTTCTCTGTGTCTGGGGCAAGGAGAAGAGGCAGGAATGGACCAATGGCCTTCGTGGCAAGGAGCACGTGGGGTGTCGGTGTTACTGTAATTCTAATCATATAGGAGCCTTACTAATTATCTATACTATCTTGGGGTTCGTTATTCTCATTATAGTACCCTACATTACATCGTTTGGCTGCGGGGTTGGGTTTGGAGGGCCGGGGCGAATAGGAGTGCCCAGATTCGGGGGGAGGCAGCTTCTGTTGCTGTGGATTAGGCCTCGGCTTGAACTAAGTACCAGCGTATCCGGTGAAATCCTACGAATCAAATCCTACAGTCCAAACCTTACATCCTGACCTAAGCTCCAAGCCCCCAAGCCTGGTAACATCCTAATCACGTAAGCCCTCAACACACAGAGTTCCCCAGACCCAACAAAGAGAATCCTTCAGCCCAACTTGCCACAGCTGAACCCTGACCCAAACCCTCAACCCCGAAACCCTAAACTCCCAAACCCGATGCAGTTAAGGGATTGCGGCATCTAGAGGTAGCAGAGAGGAACCAGCGCTGATCCAGAATCAAGAGCCCGAATCTCACGAACCACCAACGCTCGGAGCACCTGCAGCCCCAAAGTGCTGTTGAAATGTGTCGCGCAAGGGTCTTGCTTAGCTTTGTCTTCGAAAATGGAGCTAGGGTTAACGAATTCAGGTAAGCAGTGTGGGCAGAGTCCTACCCTAGCCCAACAGCCTGAAGCCTTAAATCATCTTAAGGGCCCCCAACTCAAAGACCCTAGACCCTTAACCTTAAACCCTAAACACAATACCCCAAGCCCTAAACCCTAATGACCCCTAAGAGCATGTCTTTACTTTCGGGTCTCAGACACGAGCCGACGCGCGAGGAGAAGCAAGATCTAAAGGCGGCAGCCAAGAGAAAGGAGGAGAAGGCAGCGGAAGGGATCAGGGTTTAGCGCTTTAGGGGTTTAGGGCTCTGCGGGTATAGAGTTTAGGCTGTAAGGTGAAGGGTGTAGGGCTTCTGATTTTAGGACACGCACTGGAAGCGCGACCCTAAACCCTAAACCTTAAACTACAGGGATCTCAAGCCCCCCCAGCAAGGGGCCGCCCTTTCTTGGGAAATCCTGGGGTGTGTGACCGCCTAAATTTTGAAAGCGGGTAGAATAATGGCTCAACACATATAAAGGGCTTTTTTCTACATACTTTTGGGGGGTTTAGGTGTGCAAGAATAATGGAAGCAACAATGACTGAGTTCTTGGACGCAGAGTCGTTCGATTTTGGAGGCTTAGGGCCGATAGAGGTTTGGCGTCTTGCAGGTTGGGATTCAGCGCTGGAAAGGTTACTCTCGAGGCCTTACTAATTTTAATAGGGTTTTGCGGTATATTAAACTATAATGAGGAACCCCCAAAACCCTATTCCAATTATTAAGGCCTCTGCATTAATCGGCTTAGGATCTAGTGTCGTGATTTAGGAGTGTAGGACGTGTGCTTGTTTGAAGGTTCAGGCTCGGCCCCAATGCAGGCACTTAGAGCCCAGCCCTTAGCCCGATATACCCGAACACGGAGGCCCAGTAATCCCCGACCTATAACAGTACCAATTCCCCGCACCACAAACGTTACGCGCCACTTGTGGGAATCCCAAACTCTGAACTCCTTAACCCTAAACCCTAAACCCCGAAACCCTAAACCCGAAACCCTAGCCCTTAGCCCCAAGCTTGATCCCGGAAGTCTTAGATTCAATACACCGACCAATGCCTCACGGGCTCGAAGTCCTGGAAGCCTCCTAAACACAGGCCCAGAGCGGATTATTGTAGGGACCTTAATAATTATAGGGTTTTGGGGGTATATTCTACTATAAGAAGGAACCCTAAGGAATAATATATCGGTAATTATTCAGGCCCCTAGATTAGGAGGTTCAGCTCCCCCAGAGCCTGAACCCTGGGCCCAACACCATAAACCTGAAGGAAGCCACGCTAGTTGTTCAAGACACCCGTACATATAGAACACCTACATATATCTCGGGCATAAAACCTCGTATATAGCCCAAGTGCAGCCTATTAGCGAATATACAAACCTTTGAACCCTATTCAGCCCTACAGAGCCTTAAGAAACAAGCGAATGTCAGGAGAGGGCTAAGTGGTCGTCTTGGCTCAGCAACGGCGTAGCGCATGCCAAGAGCGAGGGGGCTGCCAAGGTGCTTTGAGCTTCTGTTTGTTCACCGCCAGGTTTAGGGTTTAGGGCTTTGGGTTTAGGCCGTATGCTTGTGTAGACGTGTTTTTGCATTTGGCTTTCACGGGATTAGAGCTCGGGGATAAGGCTTGTCTTGTTTATGGGTATAGTTAGATGATTTAGGGCCTAAGTTGGGTGTGACTAGCTTTCGTTTTGGCATCTAGTCAACAAGCTCCATGTTGAGAGGCCCAGCTCCCTCAGACGGTCGGATTTTAGGTTGAGGGCGGGCGCATCCCGACGGTTGCCTGTGCAGGGTTATCCAGGTCCTGCTTCTGCACCGTGATTGCGCCCCAACTCTCCCAGAGCAGAACACCCACAAAACTTCAGGCCCACAGACCGTACAGAACCCTGATCCTTGAACCCTCTAACTCCAAACCGAAGCCCGCTACCTTTTCATAAAGCGCTTGCAAAAGCTTTTCTAACCCTGGGGAACCTTATCAAGCGTTTGCAAAAGCCTTATAAACACCACTGAGAAATTTTGTACTCCAAGAAGGGCTGAACAGCAGAAAGAAGCCTAAGAAAGAACGTAAACCAAACCCTAAACCCTAGACCCCCAAACCCCAAGCCATGAACCCCTAAACCCTAAGCCTACACCCTCTTCCTTGAACCCCTAAACCCTACGAGGCGAAGGCCAAGACCAAGCCCAAGGCGAAAGCTTTCGCACCGAAGCCGCGGGCAGATCTCCAGAGACTCGCTTTAGCTTAAAGCTTTAGGGTTTAGGGTTTAGGGTTTAGCCGAAATAACTTACCAATATTATTCGTTGCAGTTCCTGATTATAAAGATGCTATGAAGGAGCCCAAAGCCCTAGTCTAATCATTACGGCCCCTGCATTGGGGGGTTCAGGGTTCAGTGGGTCTTGAGATGTGCAGAATTGGGGTTTAGGGCTTTAAGGGTTTAGGGTTGAGGGTGCAGGGTTGAGGGATCAGGGTTTAGGGTTGGGTGTGCTGGGGGTTTTGGGTGTTGATAGTCTACGAGTTCGAGGTGCAAGTCTTAGGATTCACCTTGCTTCCCACACCCGTACTTAGTGTTTTTGGCCGGATCCCTATAGATAGGGGTTCCTTTTGTAGGTGTTGGGTTATTTTTTACCAAGTTGTTGCCCATTTTTGGCGTGTTTAGGCACAGGATATTGGTTCAGGGTTTTTGCTGATGAGGAGCGACAGGTTAATTGGAGCTGGAAGTTTGGCAGTTTCAGATACTCGTCGTTCAGGTTTTAAGGCGTGCCTGCCTCCCTTCCCTTCCTCGATCCCCTCTCCCGACCCCAAAAACCGACATCCGATCCCAAACTCTTAAGCCTCGAAGCTCTGCCACTTGCTCTTTCACTGGGGTTCTCGGTAGTGCTGGAGACAGGGCAGGCGGTCAAAGGAGAGAGAGCAAACGCAAAGCCTCAAGGCTCTGGACCTCAACCCCCCAAAACGTGCCATCAGCTGAAACTCTAAGCCTTAAACCCTGACCCAGCGAGCGGAGCCCTAAAACCCTAAAGAATCCTAAACCAAACCCTAAGGAACCCTAAACCATATACCCAATGCCGGCCAATGCCCTATACCTGATAACCCCCAAAACCCGACAAACCCTAAACCCCAAACCTCCCAAAAACCCGGAGCAACCCCAAACCCTGAACACCTTAAAGGTCTCGGAACCCTAACGACCCCAACCCTGAGTACGAACCCTGAACCCTAGAACCCCCCTACAAAAAAAACATATATATATATATATACACACATACATACATACCCATAAAGCCTGAATTTATAAGCATCTCGGTCTCCTCCTCGAGGAAGGCTGCGGAAGAGCTTGCGGCGGACAAGATGGCAGATTTGACCCTCGAGGTGGACATATTCTAGATTAGTCTATAGACTGTACTAGCAGTCTAGATTCTAGGTTTTATTTTGTCTTATATGTTAGATCATGTTACTATTAGCTTCAATAGATGATACTCGACGTTGCAGGATAGAGAAAGTAGGCCCGACCGGTACTGGTCCGTCAGGCTAGGGCCTTCTTGGGGTAACCAGTTTATGGGTCAGAAGACTTCAATAATCTTAAGCCCTAAACCCTAAGCCCCGGAACCCTAAACCCCCAAACCCCCAAACCCTAAACCCAAGGCCCCTAAACCCTAAACCCCTAAACCCCAAACCCCAAATGTTCCTTCTTGGGGTTCCTTGTTATGGTTAAAGTATCCTCGAAAGCCCCACCCAGAGTCTCTGTACGTGAGGCCCCTGATGCAGCTGCGCTGGCACCATCTGAGATTCCTGCTGCCTAGGAGGGCTTGAGAGAATTCTCGGATATTGAAAGGCAAATGGGGTTGTATGGTTTAGGGTTTATAGGATTTTAGGGTGTAAAGGGGCTTAAGGGCTTTGCGGCATAATAGGGTTTAGGGCTTAAAGGATTTTAGAGCGTAAAGGGTTTAGGGTTTTGGGTTTAGGGTTTAAAGGATTTAGGGTTTGTGGCTGCCTGTAATACGATGTCCAACCAAGACGTGCATATACCAGAACGGCCTTGGCACCGAAGTCAAGCAGAATCAAGAGAACTCTAGGAGTATCCATTATGTACTCGCAAGAGGAGAAAACCCAGCCCAAGTAGTCCTTGCTACGCAGCCTTCAAGCCAAAGTGACTGTAATTAGGGTTATGACAAAGCTTATGCTCGTAATGCAACCATATTCATCATGACTTCTAGCACGAAGTAAGCTACATAGAACCCTAAACTCTAAACCCCTAACCCAAACCGTACTTTCTAAGTCTCATGATCCTCCGAGTCGGCTCTGCGCCCAAACGGGCGGAAGCCATCTAATCTTGCTCGCAAGGCGGGGATGAAAGCCTCGAAGCTGCCTTTTCCGGGCTGAACTGGGTGTCTTTTGAAGCAGCCTATTCTAAGATACCAGAATAAGGACACCATATGGTTCACTATGGATCTTTTGTATGGTTACTCGAATTAAATCCCTCCACAGTCAATGATCTTTTTTGGAGCGGTAAGAGTTTAATAGGGGCCTGAGGCCCAGGTTCCCTTAGGTAAGGGGGCTATAGGGGAAGATGGAAGGGTTCGGATCGGGGCCTCAACAGTTGGAGCAGGTTTCGAAAATATCTTATTATACTCGATGGACTACACAGAAATGTCAAGAGAAAATGTGCCGACCCCTATGTTACTTGGCTTCTGGCGTGTGACATCGATTAGGGCTTTAAGGGCTCCGGGTTTCCCTGAAAGAGACGGCAGCCCAACTTCATCCCTGTGCCCTCTAAGCCGAGCTCTGTGAATAGTCTGCTGGCGAAAAAGTTGCTGTCCCGGTGTGGTTTTGCTTGTCTGCGCTGTTTGAAAGATTCAGACACACGCAGCTGCACCGAGAAAGCGAGACTCAGTTCCAACGCCCCAGAATGTCGACTGCCAGTCGCACCCCCCACCTGAGGACAGCAAGCCCTCAGCACGTACATGCATGTCCACCATGATCCGAATCACAATTCCAGAACTCCGGAGCCGTTAACCTGATCGCTTGTTGAGCCTAAGAAGTCGTTGACTTCAAGGATCAGAAGCCACAGTCTGTCGAGATCCAAGCTGCTGGAAAGAACACCAGAGCTGGCCCTCTAAACGCCTCAAGGAGCCAAAGCCTCACGACCCAAACTTCTGCCTGGGGCTACTCGGGCTCAGAACTCTAATGTAGCTCCTTTTTATTGGGAACTACACTAGACCCCAAACCAAAACTTCAAACCCTGAACCCTAAATCCTAAACCCTAAACCCTAAACCCTATGACCCAAAGCCTCCCGGCTCAAGCTTCGCCTTTCCGCCAGGAGTTCGGTCTCTATGCCAGCTCGCAGGCCATGGGAGACCTCGCTGCCTTAGTCGTGCGAATGAGTGCGTGCCTGAGATTTAGGGTTTAGGGCTTATAGGGTTTAGGGTTGCGTTTAAGGCTTCTAGGGTTTATGGGGTTTAGGGTTTAGTTAGGGCCTATATGGGGTTTATAGGGTTTAGCGTTTAGTTAGGATTTATATGGCTTACAGGGCTCATGGGGTTTAGCTTTGGGCGTAGGTGCATCGGCTTATGTTTCTTGTGAACGTTTCGAACTCCGGTTTTCAGCCGTAGGATTCTGCATTCTTGCCGAGCAAATCCACCCAGGACGGCGCTTGAGCATGTGACCCTTAACCCTAAAAGGCCTAAACCCCTAAACCTTATAGCCGACTAACCGTGACTAACCCCTTAGCCCCCAAAACCCCAAACTGTTAACCCTAAGCCCGTAAACCCACCCCTAAACCCCAAACTCTTAACCCAAAACCCGTAAACCCTACGCTCTTAACCCTAAACCCAAATCCCGCAAACCCTACACTCTTAACCCTACACCCTTAACCCTAAACCTAAAATCCGTAAACCCAAAACCCTAAGCCCAAATCCCTGAACCCTAAACCCAAAGCCCTGCACTCTTAACCCTACACCCTAAACCTGTCAACCCTACCCTCTTAACCCCCAACCCAAAACCCGTAAACCCTACACTCTTAATCCTACAAACTATACCCGTAAACCCTACACTCTCAACCCTCAAACTGTAAAACCGCAGAGCCCTGCACTCTTAACCCTTAACCTTTTACGGGTCATTTTGGGAAACGCCCGGCCAGTCTAAGCGGCGACCCTGACGATCGAACCCATCAGTGTCCAATCCTGTACAGGGGTTTAGGGTTTAGGGTTTAGAGTCTGGGGGTTTAGGGTTTAGGGTTTCTCGGGCTTGGGCTTGAATCCGGTTGCTTCTACTCATTCTAGACTGCTACTTGAGGGTTCGCGGTTTAGGGTTTAGGGTGCCACTACTCCTCCTGCTACTACCACAACGACCACGGCAAGCTGCCACGAGTCCTACTCCTACCTACCGATGCCCCTTTCCAGGTCTGACTACCTCGATGCCACCTCGCGGCCGCATCACCATCAAAGCTCCAAGTGCCAACCTTGGAAAAGCTGTGGAGGTTTGCATCAGGAAGCTCGATGCTGCTTCAGGTTACTTCTTAACAGTTCCTTGCATGCCCCCCTAAACCCTAAACCCGTATTAGGCACCTTAGGTGTTTTGGTTTAGGTTTCCCGAAGACCTCAAGTGCCGAAGCCCTGATCCCGTCGCGAACCCTGAGCTCTGAAACCCAAGGGCTGTAAGCTTTCGAGACTTTTCTTTTTTGGTTTGGGGAGTTTATAGGATTTAGGGTTTGGGGAGTTCAGGGTTTAGGGAGTTTATGGTTTAGAGAGTTTAAGGTTTTGGGGTTTAGGGTTTAGGGAGTTTAGGATTTAAGGTACGCCCGGAAGCCTGGGATCCAGACCCCCAACCCGAAAAGGCAAGCCCAGCAAGGCTTAGGAAGCAAGGGACCTCGAGGCGTAGCAGAAGCTAGAAGACCTACTTTAGGGTTTAGGGTTTAGGGTTTAAGGTTTAGGGTTGAGGGTTTAGGGTTTAGGGACCCACTTCTGCAGAACTCATGTTTCCAACCGCAAACGCGTGACAAAAAAAAAAGACCATGCAGGCATGTGAATCCCACAGCCACCTCCAGGCTCCACCCTCAGTTGGCCCCACACATTCAGGATGCTCCCCAAACCCAAAACCCTGAACCCTAAATCCTACCTACATCCGACGCCCTAAATCCTAAACCCTCAACCCTAAACCCTATGAGCCCTAAACCCTATAAGCCCTAAGCCCTAAACCCAAAACCCTAATCCTAAACCCGAAAACTTAAAGCCTAAACCCTAAACCCTTTAAGCCCTAAACCCTGAACCTGAACCCTAAATCTTAAACCCTCAGAAATTAAACCCTGCACCTTATAAGCCTTAAACCCTAACCCTATAAACCTTAAACCCTAAACCCTAAGCCCTAAATCCTAAACCGTGGTTGAAGAAGTCCTAAGGGCTGGGCTTTGGCCCGAGATTTGGTCGGCGAGGTTCGGGTTTCGGGCTTCGGGTTGACAGCAAAGGGTTAAGGGTTTAGAACCTTTAAAGTTTAGGGTTTAGGGTGTAGAGTTTAAGTTTAGGTTTAAGGGTCTAGGGTTTTTAAGGTTTAGGGTTTTTAGGATTTTGGTATTAGGGTTTGGAGTTTAGGGTTTAGGGTTTAGGGTCTAGGGCTGAGGTTTAGAGTTTACGGGCTTAGGGATTAGGGCTTAGATGGAACGCAGGTGGTTACGCCTTTCCGCTGGTGTGCATTGGCTTTTCCTCGAAGTCTGTCGAGGTGCAGAGGGCTTGAGCCCTGAACCCGTAAGGCTAACGCTAGGACCGAAAGACCCGAGTGCTCATCCTAAATCAGTGATGTTAAGATAGGAGCGTAAATAGCTACCTATAATATTTTGAAGGTGCCTTATCTAGGTTATAGTACAATATGGCCTAGCTAAAACCCTATTCCAACTATTAAGGCCCCGACATTACAGCGTTGCATCAACCCTACATGGCCCTGAATCTCAAACAAACCCCTCAGCCCTAGTTCCCAATCCTCAACTTACTCGCGCTCAACCCGGGCTTGGAGTTTAAACAGTAGGCGAGAGAGAAGAGCGACAACGGCACTGCCAACAACAGCAGCAACAGCAACAGCAGCACAATAACATCTTGCTAGCAATTTGGCAGTGCTCCAGTTGTCTTAGCACCATTGCTCAGCGCTTGCCTGGTCCTTGATTTCTGCCATGGCCCCGAGAACGACATTGTGCTTGCCTTTGCAACTGAGGGTTTGGTGTTTAAGGTTAAGCCTATTGGGGAAAATATTTGATCCCCAATATGTTTAGGGTGTAAGGTTTAGTTGGTAACTGCATGCCCAGCCAGGTTGGCTATGCGCCTCTGCCCCCACGCACTGCCTGTCAGGTGCGCATGCGCGTGGGAATGTAAGTTAACGCGCAGGGCTAGGGGGTTAGCAAAATGTAGAAGGCCATCCAGTGCTTTCGCAGGATCGATATTTAAAGCTGGTTCTTGGTGGCATGCGGGCAGGCTACATTTCTCGTTTGTTTGCTGCCGATATAGTGCAGCCCGGTCCGCATCATGATCGTCATCCTGAAGTATACAGCAGTCAATGGGGAAGTTTGAAACCTTTTGGGCTCCCACGCTTGGTCTGCCTCAAGAAAGCTTGAGCTTTGTCTTGCCAGGTGGTTGGGATCAGCCAGCGTCCTAAGCCCCAAATGAGCAGCCCGAACCCCGAAGCCTAAACCCGAATCCCTCGTCCCCAAACTTTATAGACTTAGAGCCTGCAGCACAGTCCCTTGAAACACCTAGCCGCGCCGAGAAAGCCTTACTAAAGCCCTACACCCCAAGTCGCATACATTCGGCCAGGGGGGCGGAGATGTAAGCAGACGGCTCTTGCCTTTGCCCTAGAAATTCAGGGTTGGGAGTCGGGGCCTTGATAATCAGAATAGGGTTTGGGCGCCGTTTTAGCATAAATATAACAAGGAACCCTGAGGAAGCATGTTGGTAGTTTTTTACCCTAAACCTAAGCCTAGGTTAACAAACCCTAGACCCTAAACTCGACACCACAGTTCCTCCACCTTAAAAAGACCCGAAACCCTACACCACAATTCCTCAACCTTCAAGTGGAAGCCCTAACCCCTAAGCCCTAAACCTTGCGAATCTACTCCCTCGGCCCCGCCCTGCAGCTCTTTGAGGCCTCTGACACCATTGAACATCCTTACAAGACCACTTACCCCCCCTCCTCCCCACTCCAACAGAAAGAAGATAACGACATCCTCAAGGCCCTGTCGTAAAGACCCTCAAAACGGCCTTCTGCCCTAGACCATGAAACCAAAACCTGAAACGACCCGAAATCCAGCATACCGTCCCAATCCTCATCCTTTATACCCAAAGCCTCTAACAGTCTTGAACACCGTCAACGACCCAAACCCTAAACTAAACTGAGGATACTGACTTAGCCAGGAAGACGGGGCTTAACAACAAGCAACACCGGGAACCCACAACCTGTTCGAATCTTGGCCCTTAACCTTAAACACGAAACCTTTTGACTCTAGAACGAGACGCTGCAAGACACAGAACCCGTAGACGCACAGAAGCCTAACAAAGAACCTAAACCCTTCAAAGAGACCGCATGAAAAAAACATCCTAAGCTCCGAAAATTTTCCCCTCTTCAACCCTCAACCCCTAAACCCTAAACCCTTGACCCTAGCCCCTAAACTTTCCCTCTTCGCCCGAGGCCCCACCGTGGGCGGAACCCAGCTTCGCCCCGGCGTCTCGGTCTCCTGGCCTCTGAGATGCCGGGAACTCATGCAGCAACCCCGAAAGCCCTGAAGTGGCATTTAGGGTTTAGGATTTAGGGTTTAGCGTTTAGGTTCCATTGTAGTTCCTTCTCTTGGCTAGCCAGTTTGTGAACTTGGATCCTACAAGGCTGACCATAGGTGGCCCCAAAATAGAACTACAGTGGCGACAATAATTGGTAGTCTCAAGCCCAACGGTGTTTATGAGGGAATCCCAGACCCGGTGCTGTTTCTGAAATACGGGTTTAGTCTTGGTCGCCACCAGTCTCAGGTTGAGGGTTTAAGCTTTAGGGATTAGGGATTCAGGTTTAAGGGCTTAGGGTTTAAACTTTTGGGTTTTAGGGTTTAGGATTAGCATCTAAGATTCAGGGTTTAGGGTTTCAGGTTTAGGGTTGAATCAGATACTGGGGGCCCCGACGCAGTGTAACTTCTCACAGTTCCTTGATAAATACATGTGTACGATAGAATACCCAACACTATATTCTGGTTCTGGCCGTTCGTTGTTGTTGTTGTTGTTGTTCCAAGAGGGGCTTCTATCTTCTCGGCAGGGGGATACAGGTAGACAAGGCTGCCACGAGTGCTTTAAGGGCTTTTGGGCGTGGAGTGTGGGCCTTATTTTACTTGGTTGCTACTGCTGCTGCTACTGCAGCTCCTGCTGCTGTTCTTGTTGTTGCTGGATGTTGTTGATGTTCCCTAAACCCGAAACCCCAAACCGCGAAGGTGTCGGTTCGCTGTTAGTCTGTCTGGGATGGGGTGTGGAGGCACGGTTGACACCCCTAAACTCTAAGGCATGAACCCTTGAACCCTAAACACTATACGCCAAGCCCTTTAATATAGGGGCCTAAACAATTACCAATGCTATTTTTTTT